TTTCCTTCGGCTCCTTGGTGGACGCTGCCTCAGGGGTCTTCTGCGGACATAGCGCTCCCTCAAACCCGGCTTCCTGGGCTCTGCCACTGCCAAGCACTTCCTTTCTCTGCCTGCTTTTTAAAGTATTGGGGCCTGGACTTGAACCACGGTTGGTCATGTGAGATACAGCTGCTTTAACCCACATGCCAGGGGGTATCCTAACAATTTCTATTTCAATATAACTTTATTTATAAATTTTGATTATATTCTGGTCTCTTGCTCTTTGTCTATGATTGCTATTTTGTAATTTTACAATATTTGTTATTGTCAGTTATGCCAGTACTATAATTCAGAAATTGTCTAATTATATATGTATTCATATTTTGACATTCTAGGTAAATTTTAGAATTTTGGCCCCTTTTTAATGAAGAAAAAGAACATACTGGAGTGTTGATGGGATATTTATATTAGTGACAGGGAACACTTCATTTTGATGAATTTTGAGAAACTTGTCATCTCTGTAAAGGTGAGTTTTTCTTCATGTACATATGTGTAACCACATTTTTAATGGCTATAAATTTTATTTCTTTTATATTTTACATATTTTTTTTTTTTGAGAGTTGTTTTCCTATAGGGCACATGCACTCACCAGAAAGACAGAGACAGAAAGTGAGAAATCACCCCCCAGGGGTGATGGCCATGCCGTAATCCCTTCTCCATTCCCTTCTCAGGATCTTGGGCACGCACGCACACGTGCCCAGCATGAGTTTAAACCACCAGGTCCAGGACTTGAATTGTGGTCGACTACATGGGAGTCCAGCAACATAGCCATTACACTAACAGCTGGTCCTCCCCCCATTTTTGTTTCTAGAAACTTGCATACATGTATATTACATGAATGTCATCATCATATAACTCATGTTGTATTTTTTACTTTTTTTTAAAGTTGGACCTATAAGATCTAAAATATGGCTCACCCCTAAAAACCACTTCCCCTATACTATCCCATTCATTTATCCCTTAATGATTCCTCTTGCCTCTTCTACCTCACTTTCAAATATTTACACAAATACTATGAATTCTTATCATAGTACTTACATGCTTGTATTTCTTTGAGTTTATGCTGATTGCATGTGTGTCTGGGAGATTATTGAATCAGTTTCCTAAAATGTAGATAACAATTCTATGGTTTAGTTTTATCTATTTGATTTTGGTATTTTCCCATTTACTAAAGATACTATACATGTTTTACACATGTATTGAACATTTAGAAATCTACCTAAAGTGTCTGTTTAAGTTTCTTTGC